ACTGCTAATAGATGATGGAGAGTGGCTTGGCAAGCTCCTCCTTTTGATTATCTAGAACTCAGTTTCAACTTTTTATTAAGTTTTCTAATTATATTTCCCTTCAATAGATTGTTTCTCTTGTTACCATCATATTTCATGTGGAGTGTCTCAGGCAGCACCTGTAGAAATCTGTACTGTTTGTGAAATGGAGAAAGAGAACACTTGGTTTTAGAGAACTAGTAGTCAGGAAATGGCTTTAATTTCACTTGTGTTTGCATTGATTGTTCCAGGAGTGCTGCATTGCTGTACCTCTGTCTCAGATCGTCTTTATTGAAGAGCAAGCAGCTGGGATAGGAAAAAGGTAAGATGATAGTCATTGTCTTTTTTAGATGGATAGTTTGCCCATGCATGTTATGTGAGGTACCCAAGATTATATATTAACTCATGGTATGTTCCACTTGCAATCCAAGTTTCCAGATTGACAGCCACAAAGACCTGCTTTCCTCACTTGAGATCAAATGTGTGAGAGAGTCATGACAAAGCAGTGTTGGATGTGATTTGTTAAATAACTGTCTTGTAATCACTAAACAAACGTGTTCTAGCTTGCCATTTTCATTTGATTAGTCATAAACGACAACAGTGATTTTGCTGAATCTAAATTTGAAAGCGAATTTTAGTCTTTAGTGCCACAGAACTGGTTGGGGATAGAAACTCTGCCAGATCCCGTATTATATAACTTTTCATGACCATATGATTGATTTTGAGCATGGAAATGCTAGCGATGGTTAGAAGGAACTCAGGTGTTTCCACTCACTTGAATAACTGATTCAGTATGGTATGTGTATAAAGAAGTTTCACAAGAAAAAGAGAAAAAAATACTAACTGGAGAAATATATATGTAGTTGACATCTCCTTGCAGCCTACAGTCAGATGGGTAAGGTGATATGCTGGGGGTATCCAGAAGAAATCAGGTAGTTCACTGATCCTGGAGAAGTCAAGTAAATAAAGACGCATGAAAAAAGTGTCAGTAAAATGAAATGGGAATGGCAGACTTGCAGTCATGCCGTGATAGCAGTCTGTTATGTTCCTAAAATAATGCTATCTCAAGGTTTGTTTTGGTGGTAGGTGTCATTTTGGACTGTTATTTCCATGCATGTTACCTTTGAATGTTGTTTTTGGACAAATTCACACACAGTGTTCACAAGTGACATATACAAGTGGGATAGATTAAACATAATATTGAGACCTTTTGTTTTCCTGTGACAAAGACAGTGTATTTTGGCAGTAGTTATTGCAAGCCAAAAGCCAAATCAAATGACTACTTGATGATTAGTTTTTATCTTAACTAAAAGATTTTTCAGAAATTATTGCTTGAAATGTTAAAAGTTGTTAAATTTATTTCTTAAGAATTGATGGTGGGTACATTTTAAATTTGTGAGACGTTGCTGTTTTAGAAGTTATAGTAGTTTTTATGCAAGACCTACTATAATATTGAGTCAAAATACTTAAAGGTTGATGCACAAACGTAAAGCATTATTTGATGTACTTTAGCTCTTATGTGAGTTAAAGTTATTAGAGGTTTTGATTAAATGGTTAACTTTGATTGTAGAAATAATTTTTTTAGATACTACAGAAAGCTGCCCTTTCTGTTTCCTTTAACTTTTTCTTAGTGCCAAAATAGTAGTTCATCTTCACCCTGCTTCTTCAAACAAAGAGCCTGGTCCATTCCAAAGCAGCAAATATTCCTACATCAAACTTTCTTTCAAAGAACATGGGCAGATTGAGGTAAGTTTCGTACCATGCAAGCCCAGCACATCAGATCTTTGGACGTGCTTTTCTCCTCTCGCTGCGAGTGATAATTTTCCATGATCTTTCCATGTTTACTTTTGAGATGGAGCTTTTTCAATACATCCTTTTTGAAGATAAACACTGTGAGCTTTCAGGGTTCCATACTTTGGTTAAATAATGCAAACAGAGCTCCCAAAATGTCAAGAGGCATTATTAGGCTTTGTCCTTATTTTAGTAGTTTTAATATAATCTTTTGCTTCCTTTTTTAATCTTCTGAATTGAACACAGGATTTTCCAGAATGACATCTCTGAAATCTGTTAAATGTTTTAACAGAGTAAAAGATGTTTCTTTGTAGCTAACCCTCTACTGAACAGGAATCAAGCAACTTATCACCTCTCTAATTTTATTGCTGAACACTTTTTGTTGTGTCAGAGCTTTGTTTCATTTTATATTTTATAAATCTCTTTTTTTTTTACCTACACCAAATCTCAAAGGCTTTGAGCATTCTAAAAAATGTAATATATTTTTAAAAGAAGGCTTAGTCTAAAAAACAAAGAAATTGCACTCTGTAAAGAAATTTCACAGTGTAAGATCCTCACTTGAAGAGACTGAGAACTTTAACTTTGAACAATGAAAAAAGCCGTACCTGTTCACTGCAGAAAATCAGATTTTGAACTTAAATTAGTTATAAACGTCTTACAAGTGTATGTGCTTGATCAGACTCACTTTCATTTCTTTGTGAACAGTTTTCAGATTAGGACGATTTATGCCTAGTTACAATTGTATAGGTGTTTTGCCTAATCGTAACCGTATTTATTTTAATGCTAATGTTTGTGTCTGAAAATCAAACTTACTATGCTTACTGGTTACCTAGCACATCAGTTGCACTCCAGATCTTTTCTTTGTGACTTCAGAATGCTTTCCTGTGAACTCTGAGCAACCATAAGAATGGAATAGATTTTTCTTTCTGGGTTTTGGTCAGTGGGATACACTTAGTGTTAACTAACTAATGCCACCTCCTGGTACTAGCAATAAACAAATAAGTGTAATTGATGTGTGTGGTTGTCTTCATATTGTTGAATTAACAGATCAATAGCAGTGTGCCCAAGTGGCCAAGAAGGCCAACAGCATCCTGGCTTGTATCAGGAATAGTGTGGCCAGCAGGAGCAGGGAGGTGATTGTCCCCCTGTACTCGGTGCTGGTGAGGCCGCACCTGGAATACTGTGTCCAGTTTTGGGCCCCTCAATACAAGAAAGACATTGAGGTGCTGGAGCGTGTCCAGAGAAGGGCAACGAAGCTGGTGAAGGGTCTGGAGCATAGGCCTTATAAGGAGTGGCTGAGGGAACTGAGATTGTTCAGCCTGGAGAAGAGGAGGCTGAGGGGAGACCTTATCACTCTCTACAACTACCTGAAAGGAGGTTGTAGTGAGGTGGGTGTTGGTCTCTTCTCCCAAGTAGTTAGCGATAGGACAAGAGGAAATGGGCTCAAGCTGCACCAGGGGAGGTTTAGATTGGATATTAGGAAAAATTTCTTTACGGAAAGGGTAGTCAAGCATTGGAACAGGCTGCCCAGAGAGGTGGTGGGGTCACCATCCCTGGAAGTGTTCAAAAAACGGGTAGATGTGGCACTTTGGGACATTGTTTAGTCTAGTCTACCCTTGATTGGTTTAGTGTGGACTTGGTAGTGTAGGTAATGGTTGGACTGGATGATCTTGAAGGTCTTTTCCAACCTAAATGATTCTATGATTCTATGATAATAGTAATTGGATTGTTCAACTTCTTTTCAAAAAGCATGCCTTTGAGCAAACCTCAACAGTTTTAACTTTAACATATTTTGGAACATTTTTAATATCTGAAAAAAATGTTTTACAGTAGAAGTACTCATGTGAGTTTAACTAGTAACTATATGGCTCCTCCTCTAATGTGTATATGTTTGAAGATTGGACATTAAGGATTTCCAGATAATGAATGTTGTACTGTGGATGTGTAGGTGTTACCATGCTTTGTCTTCAGTGAAGTTTATTTCATCTACCAACAAGATGCTAAAAATACCCAGAAGTACTCTGCACAGTTCATGCAATGTCTGTTGTCACTCTTTGATGTTTGCAGTTCTATAGACGACTGTCAGAAGAAATCATACAAAGGAGATGGGAGAACATGCCTACTGGTCAGACCATTCAAGCTAACAAAGATCCACAGGTACGTGCAGAGCTTCTGAGCAGAATCTGTGTGTAATCTTTTGTTTCCATTTCTTGCTGCCCCCATATACTGCATCTGGCATGCCTCTCTAACCAACACCATGGGCACATGTGGGAATTCAGCTTTACTTTGCATATTTCTTCACTGGCATAAATTAGTTTCTCCTTTGCAGTTTTCATCTGATTTAGAACACCATGGCCTTTCTTCCTTGAGTGTGTTAGACTTGAATAGTTGATAATGAGCTCCATTTTTTTTACGTAGTCCCACACATGAGACCCTGCCTGCAGTACTGTGCCCAGCTCTGGAGCCCTCAGCACAAGAAGGACATGGACCTGTTGGAGCGGGTCCAGAGAAGGCCACAAAAATGATCCGAGGGCTGGAGCCCCTCTGCTATGAGGCCAGGCTGAGAGAGTTGGGGTTGTTCAGCCTGGAGAGGAGAAGGCTGTGGGGAGACCTTATTGTGGCCTTTCAGTATCTAAAGGGGGCTAGTAAGAAAGATGGAGAGAGACTTTTTACCAGGTCCTGTAGTAACAGCACAAGGAATAATGGTTTTAAACTGAAAGACAGTAGGTTTAGACTGGACATACGGAAGAAGTGTTACGATGAGGGTAGTGAGATGCTGTAACAGGTTGCCCCAGGAAGTTGTGGTTGCCCCATCACTGGAAGGGGCGGGTGGGGGTGGGTTTGTGTTATGTCATTACCTGGGTGGCTTTGAGTGACCTGAACTAGTTGAAGATGTCCCTGCCCATGGCAGGGGGGTTGGACTAGATGATCTTCAAAGGTCCCTTCCAACTCAAACCATTCTGTGACTCTGTGACACATGGAGTTATGTAAATATTATATATATTTGCATATAATTTTATTCAGCATTGAGAGATCTAATGAAGCTGAAAGAGTTTTGGTCTTACTTGTGATTCCTTTTCTGTTTTATTTTTTTGTGGCTGGAAGTCAAATATATAACATGTAACTTTTATGCAACTCTTTGGAACCTATATATGCTTGATTTAAATGTATATTCTAAACAGAAAGTTGTTATGGAGAATCTCTTTGTCTTATGTTAGATTGCCTTCTTTGCATACTTCTAGGTTATAAACTCTGATAAACATGTAGATGTTGTTTCTGTATATGAATATGTTGAATATATGAATATATTGAACATACAGTACTATATGAATGAAATAGGATGATCTAAAGATTGTTCAACGTCAAATCACATTAAGTCCTCCTTTGTAAATGTAGTACATATAAACATAGTTGCATTTGGACTCATGGGGAAGCCTGTACCCTGTGTCAAGAATTACTTAATGAGAATGCCTTACCTCCTGTTCTTATTCTTCAGTCATAGCAAATCATTAACACCAGTGCTAAGCTTTGCACTCAGAGATTTGAGGGCTGGCACCACTGCCACTTAGGTACCAGCCTTTCTAAAACACGTTTGGCATCAAATGAAAGGTTCACCATCACCTCCATTCTGATACTTCTCAGCAAGGTAAATTAGACTGCACTTAGCATTGTGTTTCTGTGGCTATGTTTCTTCAAGCTAGATTTCTTGAGATAATCATGTTTAGATACACTCATGCGTTTCCACAGCTCTAGTATAGATATTCACATGGACTTGGGAAGCTTTAATTGAGATGAGCTGGAATGCTCAGTCTGGATCAGGCTATTAAGCATCTTGATATTAATAGCTTCAATATAATTTATTGTCTATCTACTACAGCAAATTCATAGATGCTTTGCAGTTATTGTTTATTTTTTACACTGGTTTAAAAAATACTTTCAAGAAATGTATGAAATATTGTATGCATGATACCAGCTCTTTGGGGGAACATTTCCTGTCTTCTAATGTAAGATTTTTTCACAGCAAGGCGGATGAGAAAACTTAGCATTTCCTATTTTGATTCCTTTAATTATGTTCTTTTGCAGGCAGGAAGAATAAGGGCTGTAGGAATTGTAGGGATCGAAAGGAAATTAGAGGAAAAAAGAAAAGAGACTGACAAAAACATTTCCGAGGTAAATACTACTGAAGTTTCAAGGTCAACCACCTGTCTGAGCCATTTATATTCATTCACACTTTCTTTTAGGGGCAGCTGAGACTATTTATTGTTCTTGTTGAGAAGTCTGATTGATTAAGAGTGTATCATTTACAGTGACTTACTTTGTTTAACTGGCTTTTCAATATATGTAAAGGTACTTCATTTAAACAGTTCCTTTCAAGAAGACTGTTCTTTGAAACAAACAGTGTGTATTTATGAAACTAATTTTGGTAGAATTAGAAATCTGAGTTCAGTGACTTTCCATCAGGGGAAGCACAACACAAAGGCATCTGCAGAAAGAGACTTTGGGGTTTTTTCCTTCTTTTTTTTTTACAGCTAATTTTGGTTTCAATTGAAAATTTCATATCAATTAAGAAGAATATGCCAATCTAAGTGTCTGCACAAAACTGTGGTGAAGTTAGGTTTTCATCTTATAAATACTCAGTTTTTAAATGTTAGATTTAGGCTTGTAATTACAGTAAAATGTTCTGCGGTCCAGGCACTCGCCATATGTTACAAGTATCTTTGCGGAATGCCTTGGCTAGATGGAGACCATGCTTTTCCCCAGAAACAGCACAATAGTTGAACTCCAGATATCAATACTGATGGACAAAAGAGGCAATTAATTTCTGCATGTATACCTGGGAGCGATATCTTCAAAAATAGTCTGGTTCTGTCTTGGTAGTAGAGATTAATACAGAAGTACTCATAAACTACATGCAACAGATTCATTCTTGTGGCAAAGCTTTATGGGATTCAGTGTGCCACAATAAAAAAGGCATTCACTGCTCTGATACATAGGAAAAGTATAGTCCCTTTGCAGGCCGCATGCTGTTTAAGATACTGGTAGCATTAAACTTCGTCCTTTCTGTTTATGAGGAACATAATGAATGAAGTTCTGTGTGTAGTTCAGAAGATATTGTGGTTACATGCATGTGTATATAGTTCAAAAGGTATTGTCTGGTTATTTTTTCCTTTAGTAGCTTTGTCAGAGAGTAAAGAAATCCATTTATATGTGTTGTATGAACAGAGGAAAACCGTGACTTGTAAAATCCTGCCTTCCTCCAGCTTTAAATGTTATAAATGACTTAATTTAAAAAATGGTGCCCTGGCTTCCAGGAAAAGGCTTCCTGCATCTGCTGTTCACTGCTGATAAGAATCCAGTTCTTTAGCCTTTTGTTTATCTGAGGAAGTTCCTGTTAGGTGTGTGCACATTCCCCTTTGTTTCCAGGCCTGCCCTCGGTGAGTCAGGCAGAGGAGGAGTTAGACCCAGCATGCTGTTTATTTAGCTAAATCAAGGGTTCTTTTGATGAATGATGTTTTCATGCAGGTTATAGAGATTAGAAATAAGCTGGGAAAAGCCTTGTTAGAAAACTTTTTGTTGATATCATATACAAGTACGGTAGAAGGACTTTGATTTACACTAGAGATTGGGAAATCTATTGTAAATTACTGAATTTGGCAGATTAGGAAGTAAGAAGAAATATTCCAAAGAGAAGCCTTTGTTCTTATAGTGGTAGATTATTATTATACGGTGGTATATTTTCTTTTCTTCCCTGGGACCTAGCTTTGTCCCACTTAATTTTGGATACCTAACTTAAGGTACCAGTGTTAAGAGGCTAGACTTGTCCAGTCTGTAATGAAACACTGGCACCATTAGGAGGGATTCAGATGAAAAACAAACCCTGTCCCTTTCTGGAGACATCTCTTTCTCTTCTTTGCATGTTGAATCTCAGACCAATAAGCTTCTAAGTAAGGTGCCTAAATGTAGATAGGAACAACTGGGTCTTCCTGTGCAAATTCTGCTAAAATGTGTCTTTCTAGTGGGGGATTAGTCAGAATAAGCTAGGAATTGCATAGAAGCAATGGCTAGAAGCTGTAGGCAAGATATATCTCTGGTCATTTGACATACTCTAACTGAACAACTTCCTTTACTTGTGGCTGGAGGGGTTGGGTGCTGCTGTCAGGCAAGCTTTAGCTGAAAAGGTTCAGGAATTTTTCTCACACCAGTTGTTCAAAAAAGGTTATTTGCAAAGGTTGACCACCTGGGCACATTGTCATGTATTTGAGAGAAGTGGGTGAGAAGGCTGAATGTGTGTTGCTGAGGATGGGAGAAATGAGAGTTGCTTTTTAATATAGTTGCATTAGTATAGTTCATAACTTTTTTTTTTAACATGAATTTTTTAATGCTAGTTGGTTATCATTACTAAAACTTTTGAATTTCAATATACCCTCAGCTTTTTTTAACGTATGTTTTATTTAAGCCTAAAAACACCCTTTTTGGGTTGTTGTAGAATTGTTGTATTTGAGACTATAGCAGTTTACTAAGCTTAATAGACTTGATATAATTGTGGTCCTATGATGGATGTCCAGTTTAACATTTTTTTTTTTTTGTGGAAACAGAATAAAATTTTTCTTAGACTAGAAAAAAATCGTTTTGTACAAATAATTTTTCCCTTGCTCTAGCAGGTATTTTGGTTTTTAGATCCAACAACTAGAGTTTTCAGAGGATGCTTTTTATCCGGTTTTTATCTTAATTTATTTAAATCTGATCATTTGTCTCGTGGACCTTATTTCGTTAATTTTTTTAAACTGTTTTTTGGTTATTATGGTAGCACCGCTGTTCCTATGTATGCAATACTTAACAGACGTTGACACACATTTTCAGAGGTTTTGTCTCTTCAGTTAAGCATACATGTGAAAGCATATACCCTCTTCCTTACTCATTTGAAATGACTGTTTCTTACTAAATTAGTAACATCTACTGATTAAAGTAAAATTGTCTTGTCAGGAGGAGTACTTCTGTAGCTTTACAGCTGGCTTGCTGCTGGCCAGAAACAATAGATCTCCTTGACTGAGGGTTAAGCGTTGAAAGAAAACCTACCATCACTACCAAGAAACCTTCCCCCAGCTTTTAATAGAGCATAATAAACTTGGACAGTTTAATCTTTTCTGGGCCTCAGTGTCTCATTGTTCATTCCTATCATATGGACTTCATACATCATATTGAATTAGTGTTCACATACTAGAAAAGTGTGTGATTGATTCTTTTCTTCATTCTTTGTTGTTTATGGATTGTATAATTTTGATTTAAGACCTGATATAAAACAGATATGTCAACAATTACATGTAATATCTCACATTGTAACATACTAATCTAAAGGGATAACAGCTGTTACGAATAGCTTGGATAGGTGGACAAAGGCAGCTCACTGTAGCCGTGAAGCTGAATGCTGTAATTATACTGATCTGCAGTGTCTCCTTTTCATTTCAGGCTTTTGAGGATCTTAGCAAACTAATGGAGAAGGTATGGCATGTATCACTTATCCAAGTAGACTTATGCTTGTTTTCTCAGTTTTAAGCATGCTTTTTTTCCGTTGAGCTGAAAGTTGACTTATCTATGTGTCTTTCTTGATAGGCTAAGGAAATGGTGGAGTTATCCAAGTCAATAGCTAATAAGATTAAAGAAAAACAAGGTGACATCACTGAGGATGAGGTAAATGAATTTTGTTTTTAAAGTCAACAGAAATGTTCCTATGCAAAGCAAAAGCTATCCATTTAATAGATGTAATGTTAATAAAGAACACTTCATGGTTGGGATTTTTGTGTTTTAATTCTACATAAAGTAAAAGTGAGTTACTTGTTTAGTGTTAGCTTTTCTTTCGACCCTTTCTTAAAAGTAAACTTTTTACTGCATTTGTGTAGATTTTTGTATTTTTGACCTCTGATGGTCAAAAATAAATGCTATTAAGTCTTGCCTTCTCTTTGCTAGTAATTGACTTTATTGGTAGTAAACTGAATGGATTTATTCACCAAAACTGTCTTATAGTATAAAATGAAAGACTTTTAAAAACCAGAATCGTTCGCTAGCTGATGTACTTTTAAAATTTATTTATTTGTTTAGACTATTAGGTTCAAGTCCTATCTACTGAGTATGGGGATAGCTAATCCAGTTACTCGGGAAACATATGGATCTGGTACACATTACCACATGCAACTGGCGAAGCAACTAGCTGGAATACTGCAGACACCATTAGAGGTAAAGTACCTAATTTCACACCAGCATTTTCCGTGCGTTGCTGAATTTTGTGTTTCGGCTGCAGTACTGTGCCTCTTTAAAGTCTCAGATTTTGCAGGGCAGCCTCAAATTCAATGTTTATGGAAGAAATATATACCCTTTTTCTGAATAAGAAAGTTTAAATAAAAGTAGGAATTTTTTTTTTGGAGTAATGGCATCTCAACTTCTAATTTGCAAAATATCAGTGATATTTAGAAAATCATGGTAGCATTCTTTCTTCTATTTCAACAGCCCTGTATTCATCCCTTGCTGCAGAATATTACTTTTTTAAAGAAAGAGTGAAACAACACTGACTTTCAAAATATAAGTAGTCAGTCTTTAAGCTGCTTAAAAATTACATATTTTGCAAATATAGCACAGAGTTGTTGCATACATTACCCCCCTTAGTAATATCTCATATTTTAATTTATCTGAAGCTATTACAGAATTCAGGATTCTCACCAAAAAGTTAGATATCATGTTGCAACTTATAAGGCTATGTGTCTATGAAAAAGCATACATATTATAGTGGGTTTGTGAAAGCTATGTGCTACCTACTATGATCAGAATGGAAAACTGAGTGTGTCTGAAAAGCAAAAATGGTAGTTTCATTGATAGATTTAATATAGCAAAATTCCTTGTTCCTGTGATTTATTCTCTGCTTTAAAATCAAAGTAATTCACAGTCTTTGGATGTAGTATCAGTGTTTTGCATTTTAAAATGATTAGAGAAAGATATAACAACTTAACTGTCACGCTAGAAATACATGGTATTGCCTGGGTAGTTTTTTTTCATTAAGACCCATCATTTAGCTCCTCTGTTTCACCTGTTTAATCAGCCAAATACAAGTTGAGATGCTGTGTTTACTAGATTAATGCTATTTCTCTTACCAGTCTTGTGCTTAACACAGGAGCAAGGAGGGATCATGTCACTTACCGAAGTGTACTGTCTGGTAAATCGTGCACGAGGATTAGAGGTGAGAAACTGGTTTTATTAAACATTTTATAAAATGTACTTCAGTGATAAGGTAATTAAAGAAAAAGGGTAAAAAATGTTCCCTACCAGTTGTTCACTCTACCTGTCTAACAACATGAAGTAATCAGCCCTTTATTAAAATTAGGGGGTTTTACCTTTTTCCTTTCTCCTTCTTCCATGTAATGTTTATGTATCCTCTATAAGTTGTCATAATGTATAGTGCTTTTTATAATACCATATGAAAGGGAAAATCCATCCTTATCTGGAAGGAAAACTGAAAGGACAGAGAATACTAAAGAACAGTGAATGGGTTTTTTTTGGTTTTTGTTTTGTTTTGTTTTACAAACTACATCAATTCTTTCTGTAAACAGGGCAAGAAGGATTATTATAGAACACATAGTGAGGGAACAAAAAAGAGCATAGAAGCCAAGAAAACAGACTGGACAATAGAAAGGAAGAAAATTAACAGTATTGTGTAGCCTGGTATATTTTATAGCTGTAGTTATTAAAACTGTTTTGGTGTTCTGCTGTATACTTGAAATGCAAGCTGTGAATAAATGTGTTTTACCATTTTAATAGTTGCTGTCACCAGAAGATTTAGTAAATGCTTGTAAGATGCTGGAGTCACTGAAGTTACCACTAAGGTAAGAGCTTTACAGATGTATTTATAAAACATGGCACTTGCAAGTCAGACCATGGTGCTTGGATGACTTAATATTTTACCTACAGTAGATTTTTTTTGGTTTTTTAAACAAAGTCATCCTTTGCTTAAAGGCTGCTGCTGTATGCACGAATGTCCACTCTACATTTAAATATGAATTTTTAACCATGGTTCACTTTGCTAGGAAGACAATATTCTTTTCACTTCCAATATAGTTTTTTTTTTCAGACTGGGAAAAGTGTTTAACTAAGCCCAGTATGCCCTGCTCTTTTCAGTCTCTTCAGATTTTGAAGATGCTTTTAATATTAAGTTCATTTTACGGAGCTTCCCCCCCCCCCCCCCCCTTGTCCCTTTTGTAATGTGGTTATAGGTGTGGATGCATTAGAAACGTGACCATAGGTGATGTGCACAGGTTTTTCAGTTACTTTGACTCTCTTTTGATTTTAGGCTTCGGATATTTGATAGTGGTGTGATGGTGATTGAACTCCAGTCTCATAATGAAGAGGAAATGGTAGCTTCTGCTTTAGAGACAGTAAGTGTACTTCATTTCCTTCAGTGTTCTGAACAAGCTGGGGAAATTTAAACACATTAGGTATAAAAACTTGAGGTACAGGATTTCCTTCTGAGGTTTTGACATACAAAATATTCCACTTCCAAATCTTCTAACAGTAATACTTAAATAGCACTTTTCATCTTCAAATGCTGGGCAGGCAATAATCTTAGTCATTGCTTTCTCCTTAAGGAATAAATCACTGTTTCATCTCTCTTCAAACTTCGTTAACCTTCAACCTTCCTCCAAATCTTTTGTGCTGTAGGATGAAATTCATGGTATGTATTAAGCATTTAATTTAACAGACATGGACTTCAGACACTGTACACAATGTGCTTGAAGGCAGTGAAAGTAGCTCTCAAATGTTGATGTAGGCAGTTGTTTGGTTTGGGTGTACTTCATAAAATAGCACATTGTATGTGTAACATCTTGTACTGAGTTTGCTGCTGTGAAGAGCACTCAGTTGGAGAGTAGTGCATATAGAATTAAGCTAGCTTCATCAGAAAAAAAAACAGTATAAATTGCTCAGTGTGGTAAACCTTCATGGTCTTAATACCTGTGGACTCTTTAAAGTCCTGCTATCCCATTATTTGGTGCATTTTCCAGTGTCTTTTTCAGTGGGATGTAATTTTTTTTTTCATAAAGTTGAGTGAAGGCTGATTCAGTGTATCCAAAGTTAAACATCAAAGTCAAAGAGGACTTTGACTTGGGCAGTCAAGAAAAAGTAGAGCTGTCACAGGTACCTTCTCACTTGATACACGAGTTACTTCAGTACATTTTGCATGATTGTTAGTGTATAGCTTTCTCTCATCTAAAAGATTCCACCCTAAATTATCAAAACTAAAATGCTTAAATCTTTCAATATATGTTAATACTTTCAGTTTATTTTCTTATATTTACAGAAAAATACCTAGTCCATTTTAGGGGTTTTTTTTCTGATTATCTTTGGTCTCTAATTAATTTGTTGCCTTCAGTAAGAGTGCTTATCTCTTTGAAAGGAAAGGAAAAACCTTTTCTTGATAACAAATGAGGTCAACTGCAAAAAGCAACAGATGGTGGATTTATTACTGAAGTGCCTTTATTCTTTTCTTTCATAATATGAGACTTTGACTCCATAGAAAAATGTAAGGGAGAGGCTTTGAATGAGGAAGGCTAGCCCATAAGGGAAAGGGAAGATGAGATCAGACTTGTGGCCAAAAGCACCCTGTACTTCATGTATAATGTATAGTAACATGAAACTTCTGAGAAGTGAAAGGAAGTCAGAGGGTTTCAGACAGGAGCAAGATGTGGTTTTGAATGGCTGGTGAAGACAGGAAATGACATGGAAGTCAAAGGAACCCGGAGTCACCCTTGATGAGAGCAGTGGTTTGGGAAGGAAAGATAATTAATCACCCATGTGCATATTAGATTGTATAGCTGACTTCCATTACTCATATTTCATGACTTAGCTTCATAAAATCTCAAGTTAGGACTAATTTAATCTGAGTTTCTGTAAAAAGACTACTGCTGAGAATGACGCAGAATAAACCCCTCCCCACCCAGTTATGTGGGAAGCAGGAAATGGCAACTACATCTGGATTTACAAGTTTGCTTAAATCTGAAAAAATGGAGAAATGGAAGAAATATGAATTTGTAGGGTAATAAAGCATGTTTATCTGGGAAATTCAATGTGGTAATAAGTCTGGACTTCATACCTAGTATTTTAAGCATCCGCATGTCCAACCTACGTGAGAAGTTTTCATTTTAGCATGTATTAACTAGTGTGGTTGAGACAATGGGGCCAAAGTTTTGAATCCCAAGACTGAACCTATCTTCTGTGTCAACTGAATGTGATGGTGGCTTTTACTGATCCCTCTAGTATGCTGTTATATAGAGTGGAGTACTAAGGTTTGGGGATTTTTCTATAGGCCGTGGGGATATTTTAAATCACATTAAACTCAAATTTTCCACTTCCATCTGAGATTACTTAAATTTCTAAATCAATGACCTGCCCTGAACAGGTCTTTTATGTCCTCATTTAAGCTTCACTGTTCACAGAATTACTTAGTATAGTTGGGCTGTACACATACTGATTGTGACAGTATACTGCTGTCTGAGCTATTCTAATTTTTCTGCTCATTTTGTCCCAAGGCGTTTTTTGAAAAAAAAATCCAAAGGAGAGGGTATCATGTGATTTTTTTTGTTTTGTTTTTTGTTACAGATTTAACTCTTTTCTAAGTTCCTTTTTTTTATACTTGGCAATTTTCCCAGGACACAGAAGAGGTATTTTTAAGGGGAAATACTCACACTTATTTGTACTTTTTTTAAATGCAAACAAACTAGTTGTCTTCACAAGGGATTTGCTACCAATTTATCACCTCACAAGGCTAGACCTGATTCAGCAGCTGAGAGAACTTAATTGTTCTTTTAATGCCATAGTTTGTTTATTTGTGTGTTTGGTTTTTGACAGGTATCTGAAAAGGGTTCTCTCACAGCTGACGAGTTTGCTAAGCTGGTGGGGATGTCTGTTCTCTTAGCCAAAGAAAGGTAAGTAATAATTGCTGTGTTTAATACCTTTGTTACCATGTTGTCCTCAAGTAATACAGCATGTCTTCTTTTGCTTTCTTTAGGCTGCTTCTTGCTGAAAAGATGGGCCATCTTTGCAGAGATGATTCAGTGGAAGGCTTGAGATTCTACCCAAATCTCTTTCTGACACAAAGCTAATGTAGTTTGTGTACAATTTGTTATGTAACAGCTGAACAAGAGATCAGAGGGCAGAACCCCTCCAACAACTGACTTTAAAATTTTTATTTTGTTAGTCAATCGCAACAGTGATGAACATTGCAATGCTTTACAGTTCTCAGGTATTTCAAGTGCTGAATCCTCTTATGTGGAACTGAAAGGAAATAGGAATCACTAAGTCAGAAGCGTGTTAATTGTCTCAAGCCGGCTAGCTCAAGTTTTATTTGATGTGCTCTGTAGTTTCTCATTTCAAGAGAAGTCAGATGAAGATTCCACGCAAGTGAAAGTGGAGACAATATCCCTGTAGTCTGCCACGAGGGTCGGCACCCAGAAGACAGGTTACTGCATAGTCCAATTTCAGTTTGTTTATGTCTAGAGCAACAAAGCAGACAGATGTATCCGTAGTGATAAGAAGAGTGACTTTGGTGTGTACCGAGGTATAAGGAACCTCATGTAGAATAACCCCTTCTCCCTGAAATGATGAACAGTTTTCTAAGAGAGGATCCTGGGGTTCTTGTACTTTGAGACAGAACCTGCTGCAGGAGAGTAACATATGTTATGTGAATCTAGAAAACACGGGGTTTATTTTGTCATGTCTTATGCTAATAACTCAGATGGAAGCATTGTCAGCACAGGCTTCCTCCCTTCTCTTTCCTTGCATCTTCCTTCCTGTCTCATTATGTTGCACTTTGGGTGCCCTTTCTCTGTCCTCTCTTTACATAGCAGAGTGTAGTAGCCTCCTGTCACTCTACCAGACTCTGTGCTTTAAGGTGCTTGTTTTTTGTCTTGTACTTCTAGTACAAGTACTTTGTTTCATCAGCCTATTACCCGTTTTGGAGAGACTGTTTGCTTGTATCTCGTATGCTAAATTAATATGCTTTCAATATTGAAGGGAGGAAGAGAACTATCACCCTGTGTTTAATAGTCACGAGGTATCATATTGTTTGGTATTCCTTACCCTGTGTTCACACTGAATGCAATTTGCTAGTCTCAGTTTTTGTAACTCCAGTGGAGTTGTTACATTACTTGAAGATCTCTTGTCATGGTAATAATGGTAAGTGGATGTTTACAATCCACATCACTTAAATTTTTGGCGTTTGAAGTGACCAGTTGTAATAAATAACAAAATTAATTCAAGGTATGGGCAAGGACAACATATAGGTAACTGCATTGTGGTTGTAGTGGGCAAATTGACATTACAAAAAAGGAAAAAAAGGCTTTTAAGAGCCTGAAAATCTTTTCAGAACTGTTTCAGTGTTACCATAGGTTAGACAAGGATTAAGAGCCTGCCAAGAAGGAGTTCAGTGCAGAGATCCCTACAGTGATGATGCTTTTGGTTTGTAGGACGCTCATTTAAATCCGGGGAATTGTGTCCTCTTATCCTTGTTATGAGTAAACTTTTATGCAGTGCTTTTTTTAGGGCAGTGTTCCTCTGCTTCATGAAGGTGCTAAAACTAATGTATTTGACATAGCTGAAGGAACTGGTTCCACACTATTCTTACTGGGTTAACCATCTAGTATCCTCTCTTTAGGAGCCATACGGCTTTGCTGCTTTTCTTCATCCTCCCCACAACCCACAGAAGAGATCTATGTGAGGTACACCAAGCATCATGCATTTAAGGAGGGACTGAAAAGTAAGAAATTCAGAAGCAAAAAGCTGGTTTGTGACAACTGTTTCGTTTGCCCAATACCCAAACCTGTCAAGGGAGACCAGTGGTTTATGGGCCTGAACCTCTCCCCACAAGGGGGCATGTCATCTGCAGAAAGAACAAAACCAGAAAGGAAATGCCAAGTGTAAACTCCCAGCCTCCAACCCTGAGCATTTCATTATCCTAATTAAGCAATAACAACACAGCCTGTTTAGAATGATGGTACTTTCTCCAGATTTTCTTTCCCAAGATTTTTCCTTGACTTCTTTTTTTTCTAGAGAGAAGAAATATATAGGGTAAATTGTATAGTTGGTTTAGAATCTAAACATACATAAGAAAATGACTACTAGAAAGTAATAAAAATTAAAAGATTTCCTTAAATAGACTGTTCTGTCGGGTTTTTTTCTTCCTAAATGTTTTGGGCACCTCTAAAATCTTTACACATCAAAATCTTGTAGTTCCACGGGGCAGGTTTTTAAAGCACATCGTATTTTTTCTGTCTCATTTGGTACCTAAACCGGTACAAGATAGTTTTGATTTAAAATTAAAAGGCAGAATTAAATGTAATTAGAATGCCCTCTTTCTGTTGCTGAGTAGCCTGTGACCCATCCCAGCCAGAATCGGAAAATGATAGATGTCTGTGCAAGCAGCAGTTTCATGAGAGAACTAGTCTGAGTCCAAGCCAAGCATATATCCTGTGCTAGCATTGGAAGGGCGTTTGACACATCAGAATGTGTTTTCCCATCTGAAAGACAACAGAAATCATATATCTGGTACGATACTGAGAGCCAGCTGTTGGGCAAACAAAGGGAGTGACATGTTTATGGGTGTGTGTGGTATCATGGTAGTACATCACACTGTCCTAAACTGTCAAATTGCCTAGTCCTGTTTCTGTTGGTACTACCAGCAAAAAAATCTATTGACTGTATTGAAGCAGGATTATAGGAGAGAGGGAAATATAGGGGTTGCCATTCTCACAGATCATTCCAGTTTAATACAGAAGGTGCCTATATGAACCTTTCAGGTTTTGATTATTCCTAGAATATTTCTATCATGATACATGAATATTATCTCATTTTGCCAGGGCTGCCCAATTATACAGTCCTTTGAACAGAGGTTTGTAACAGAGGTCTGTTCAAGAAGTGCTTGGTTTTTTTATGGAGCAGTCTTAAATGATGACTATGTTTTTCATTTGAAAACATGGGCCTTTTTATACCTCTGACAGGAAAAGAACGCTGCTCAGGAATCTGTACATCTTTTCCATTTCTCCTTTGCCTTTGCTTTCAGGAAAAGTATACTCAGCCTATAGAAACATGGATCTAATCTGAACCATATTTCTGAAGTGCAAACATTTTTCTCTGAAAGATATATATGTATGTATGTGTATTTGGAAGTCTTCAAGAAGTGTATCTAATAATCACTACTGGCTGCATATTGATTAGCTAAACTCTTCGATGCTTAGTTCTTCTAACAGGACTTTTACAGTTTGTCCAAAGGGTCTGACTGCGCTTCTTGTAAAATTAGTGGAAGTATTGTCACTGAATTAATGAGGAGAGTAGCAGGAGACAGTGGGAGCCTGTTGCTGACAGTAGAAGTTCCTGCTTCCTCAAGCCTGGGAGGCTCTCATTTGCAACTGGACAGTTCTTTCAAAATACACACTGAAAGGCAGGAATGGCTGATTCAAAATTACTTGTGGATTTGATATGAAATCATTGTTTTCTTTGGGAGGAACCCCCTCTCCAATGTTGTTTTTTCCGAGCTAGATTCACAAATCTGACAATTATGTTGCTTCTCCTATTCTGGCAGTTCCCATTTCATCCTAATTCTCAGTGCTGCTTCAGGCATTCACGTGAAAGGCAAGACACTCTAGTTCCAGGTCATCTGCTGCTGGGAAGACTTCAGCTATCATTTTGTTCTCCTTAGAATGAGCTGCAAGTACTCATGCTAAGAGGATATTCTGGGCTTGTCTGTTGGCAACATTCATCTTTATTTTAAGGAAATGCTTAAATACTTTTTGGAGCACAGGCCCAAGTGTCATACCTACCAGGTAGTTGTCCTGGCCAGCAGGCTTGAGTCATTTTTCTTTGTGGTTTAGAATTAAAGTATTATTAAAATATTAAAAAACCCACCAAAACACAAAAACTTCAGGAGTGAGGAAACCTCAGTTTCAGAAAACCCCACAGCCTGCTAGTTAGCACACTCTTGTGAGACGTAGACCTGATAGAAACCACCCTGCTTCATATCCCTGCTCCAAACCAAAGACCAGGTAGGATCTCGGGTCTCCTGTTTTCCCACTGGATTGTGAATACCGTGACCTCAGATTCCCACTGATGAAAGAGCACATTAAACCCTGCCCTGCCATGCTCACAGCAACCATGGACAGCAAGTTCAAGGTAAAAGGGGCTGGTACTGCTGGAATAGTCACAGCACTTTTGGGAATCCAGTCCTGCTCTGAGCATAAGCCTCAGACTATTTAGATGTTTTGCATTGTTTTGTTCAAAGTATTTTATGTACTTGGAGGATTTCACTTAGCTGATGATGAATTATCATCAAAATGATCTCAGGGATTAAGTAAAGGAGGGGATTGATAGAATCTAAATGCTGTTTCACTGTATTTTTGAAGTAGACTGTCAAACAAATTGGTGCTCCTGCGTCCCTTGCTTCATACATGCAGAACACTCAGAAACTCAAAGACAGGACTTGTTATTTTCTTTTAACCAAAAAATTTGCAGGAGGATACATGCTGTGTGAAGTATTCCCTTTTTGCAAATAACAATAAAGGCAGCACAGTTGCACAGAACAAATTTGTGTCTGTTGCTGGTATGGCATTTGTACTGTGGCTATTTAACGATTCACTTCATGTAAGGAGAATTCTTTTCAAATGTTGCCTAAATATAACAGTATTTGACACGGTATACGAGAAACGTCTGTTCTTTCAGCCAGACTCAGCAGTTGCGTGTGTGCGGCATAATTCCCTTGAGTTTCACTTCACATCGGATGGAGAATTTGAGGTGTGTCCTTAAATTGTAAAGATACTCTGATCCACCCATTAAATGAGAATGGCAAAGCTCCCACTAACTTCAGACCCAACCTTTGTTATAATTAATTATCAAACGTTGAGTAGTTAACAGCTCTGAAAATGGGCGTATTGGCTATGGCTGAGCTCTGACAGCAAGAAGGAAGAGCTTAAAAGATGTTCTGGAATAAGATCACAAAATGTTTCGGTCTCTTCAGTAGAAATACCGATCTAGGCACAACTGTTGCAAAGTGACTACTTCTGATCTTTCTGCATTCCTGTTGTTTTTTCCACAGTGTTTTGGGATAGCCTGAGATACGGATAATTTTTTTTTTTTTCCACTGGGACTCTAATCTGTTTATAGGTTACAAGGCCAGAAGAGACTACTACAACCATCTCACTTGACCTCTTGGGTAACAGAGCTGTAGGACTTCCTTTATTTAATTTGTGTTTGAAGTAGAACTCCTCTTTTAGGAACAACAGGATTGCAACTTCTGGGAAATCCCAGCACAGCTCTTGGCA